TATAGTGACACCATTTGAAATCATGTTTCAGCAATAGTTCTGTTTAATTTGAGTTCACATTGACATAAATGTGTGGAAAGTGCTGAGCACAGGTATAACACTTTATGATCACTTTATGGTTTGCTATAGAACAAACATTCAAACACATTTTGAATGTAAATCCCCTTATTCAAATCTATTCAAATATCACCATGCCTTAATGGCAGACACAAGACTGTATCTGGTAATCATCTGTGTCTTTCCTTTAGTGACCTTAACATTTCCATATGCAGATAACAGAATGCAAACTCTGCACAGCATCACATGAGTGAATGCTTTTGGTGTGATTTCCAGATTTCCAGTTTTGGTTGGATGGATGTCCATAAAGTTGAGACTGTACTTCTTGAGAAAACAACAACAAAACGCCCTATTGTTTTTTTGTACAAGTATGTTTTTATGACCAAATTGTGAAAGAGCTGAAAAAAAAATGAAAAAGTCCTGCTTTTTTTAAAAGAAATAAACACTTTTATTTAAAGTAAAATGAAACTAACTAGAAAGGTTGGGATACATCGGTTTGCAAATTTCTTAATCGTAGACTAGAGTCCTGGAATATCTTAAATCAATGGAACATCTATTCAAACCATAGTTTACATTCTGGTTCTTGTATTATAAACTATTACTTATAAACTATTATAAACATTGTTTCACCTTCTTGACCACATTTCATATTTTGAGCAATAGCGTATTTTCATGTACATAAGTGCAGTTTAAATAAAATTGCTTCACGTTTATACTGAAGTACAGTACTTAAGTGTAGCCTTCAGTGCATTTAGGGCTTCTTGTAGCAGAAGAAGTTCCTTCTCAGCTGGCAGTTTCTCATACTGAAGGATGCAGTACCGTTCTTCTCAAGGACGCCACAAAAGCTGTGAGATGGGCAGCTTGGAATATTTTCATATTGCATCTGCTCTCCACTCACCCACAACCACTTACCAGCCAGGTTACACAGGCCTGTCCACACCTGCCAACATTAAACAGAGAGGTCCACATACAAAAACCTGTAACAAATAAAGAGTTTCTCAATACAAATACAATGTAGGAAACTGGCCAACCTCATCAGTGGTAGCCTCTTGTGCTCTCTTTCGTGCATAAGTATGGTCAAATGGAGAGATCAGCGTGACCAGGTTGTAGCGGTGGTTCCAGTCTGAAAAGGTTGGATTATTTGTGTTGACTCTATCCAGAGACCTGCAGTGATCCAATGCCTCCTCCCACGTCTTATTCTCCTTCACCAGAACCAAAGGGATAGTATAACATGTGAAATATCGCGTCCAATCACAATTGCTGGCTACCCATTTTCCATCTTTCTTAAAAACACAGTTTCCCTGTGCATTTGGTTCTGCAAGAACAAGGAGAAGTAAAGTAGTGAGAATGCACTGAGAAATTTTTAGAGAAGGTTTGAAGACCAAATTGCTTCTGAGATGTAAATCTGACCATTGGCAAGCGCCACTGTGTGCGCTCAAATCTTCAACTTTTATTGTTTGCGTCAAAAAGGCCTCAGCATGTTTCATAAATGTACTGTAGATAATAGTATAGGCAAGATATAATAGATACAATAGATATAATAGATTTGAACTTTAAAACAAATAAATGTTAGCCTAACAGAAATACTGTTATACAGTTATACAAATATAATTCAGTTACATGTTCCTTACCATTAGTGTCCCACATGGTGAAGTTGGCTATCTCATCACCTTGGGACCATTTCCATGGACTTGCTGCATCTTCTCGGTATAATCCGATCCAGCCGTAGTCAATAAAACGTTCATTTTCTTGTTCGTTTCTGACAGTGACCAGATCAGTGTAGCTGTGCCTGCAGTATGCCTGTGCATCCCTCCATGTCATTTTGATAGAAGAGGAGTCATATGCAACTTTCAATTGCCCACAAACAGGAGAAAGGAAGAGCAGCAGTTGAATGAAAATGCATGTCTTTGTCATCATGTTTTCCACAGGAGGATGACACTAGAGCAAGAAAAGCATCCACAGACAGGAAAGAAATTGAGAGAAATCTATAGTGAAGCTCTGCTTTATTCGCTATGTAGTTTTACTCATATACACATATGATGTGAAAAGCTGATTATAAACCTGCATTCATGCACTCTACCTAACTTACAGCAGCAGAACTTACCTTGCATGTGTTAGGAGGGAAGCTCTGAAATTTAGTCTGATGATGACATTTCTTTGTAAAGTCTGGGTACTCATTTTACTAAGACATTTTACTAGTAAATTGTCCTTGAAAAAGTCAAATTACTTTTCAACAGGATGCAAAGCAGCAACATTCAAATGCTTTATGATAAGTCAAATGTGTCGCACACGTTTACTCCATTTCTTTTTATTGCCTTCAGTTCCCACTTTCTGCAAGTTCCCACCACTTGCAAGCAGCAAACTATCAAAGTGGATGTTTTTTGTGTTTATGTTTATGTGTCCAGGCATGCTATGTATGAACTTGTGTGTTTATGTGTGGCTGATTGGGACCTGATGTATGTCAAAACAAAGAATTACGTGATTTAAAAAAAATTTACCTGATTTTTTTTTTCTGAGAACAATGAGATCTACATATGAGGACATTCGTTTTTAAATTTCCATAGAACAGTGGCAGAATAATGTTTTCGTAAGTGGATATCAGGCACTTGTAGAGCAAAATTTAGTATTTTGGTCTAGAATGAGGCATGCTGTATAAAGCACTTTGAGTGCTCGGGTAGAGTAGAAAAGCACTAGATAAGAACCAGTCCATTTACCGTTATAAATACAGGCTTTTTGTGTTGTTATTTGTCTTGTAATATTCAAAACTACCGGGCCGCGGCTGCACACAGCAGACAAGAAGAAACGGTTAACTCTTCCACACAGCTGAGACACTATTACGCACAACATTTTAACACAGCAATACAAACAGGCCTAACTGGGCACAGCTAACTACAGTCTATTACATTTTGCATATTTCAGATAGATAGATCCTGAACCTCCTGCCAGACAGCAGCAGCTTAAACACCCGGTGTCCTGGGTGTGTACAGTCCCGTAGGATGCTGCGTGCCCTCTTGAGACAGCGAGTGCTGTACAGGTCCTTCAGGGAGGGAAGAGGATGTCCTATGATTTTTTGGGCCATATT